AGGGTCGTTATCAGCGTTCAAACCCCTCTGTTCCGTCGTATTAGCAGAGTTTGCTGGCTGCACCATCTTTGCGTATGTTTCTTAGATCGAAATGACTTAAAATGACTTTCCCACAGACGATGCCAAATGTTTATGCAAAGATCAGCACAACGATATTTCTTGAACCAAACTCGAACCCAGTCTCTGGTCTCGACCTGAACACTAGAGTGGACTTGCACAAGAGGGTAAAACACTCTGACGCTCAAGTCAGTATAGGTCGGACTCCGTATTTAGTTCGAGGTGAGATTCGATACCTGAGCATGAAATGAATCCCTCTATTTATAGGTGGCGGATCCGACAGTACTCACGACCGACGGTTATATGTCTTTTCTCATGTCGAACCTGTCGAGTTCCGAGCAGATCGAGCCCCAACCAGGTCGAACCTTGGTGTCTATACTTAGCCTTTTATAATGGTCGAACCCAGTCTCCTTGGCAGGGCCGAGGTGGACCTGGGCACCAATAAGTGTCCTTCACGCATCCTGGGTATGTTTACCCCAAACATCCTTGATGATGATCCAAATGACCAAGAATAGAAATTAGGTTAAGTCTTAATTTTTTTCTAATAATTTTGAGGTTTGTTTTATTGTAATCAATGAAATTTCAAGACATGTAATTTCAATTTTAACTATGTATTTTTTTTTTATGAATTTTGATGTTTGTATTTATGAAGTATATTTAATCGAAAATTAAAAAATTTAGATAAGTTATGAAGTTTGAGTTTTGATTTTATTATAAAAATTTATTAATTATTAAGTTAATAAAGAGATGAAAGACATATGTTAATATAAAAGAATAAAATATTTTTTAAAAAAGTAGTCATCAAAATTTTGAACATTTATTAATATAAAGTAATAAACTCTTAACCTAAAATACTCACAAAATAATATAAATATATAAAACAATTAATTCAAAAGAAAAAAAACGTAGTGATGTCCATTCAACGAAAACCGGCAACGTATGTATTCCTCTAAGATGAGATACGAGTGAAGTTGTTTAATACGAATATCGTAATTATGGTGTTTAATAAAAATTAGGATGAGATGTGAAGGGAAGTAAAAACAAAATAATTAAAAAAAAAAAAACCGGATGCATCTCTTACGCCTTCCGTCGTTCTGTTACACCATCTATAACGTCGTCCGATGGAGCACTGAATGCATCGCTTAGAGACGCATTTGTATAAAACTTATCAAATGCGTCTTTTCAATAGACGCAATACCCTAAAAACCCAAATATTTCAACCCTCATCCGTTTTTTCTCAATTAAGTTCGAAAAGTTCTTCAGTTTTTCAAAAAACCCCTTTTATGATTGTTGTTTGTACTAGAGACATTTCTCAATGGCGCATGTCAGAAAAATAAATAAATAAATGCATGTTCGAAAATATTTTTCGTTATTCTCTTTTTTTTTTTTTTTAATAAATAAAAACAGAATGCCTTTCATGTTCTTACTTCTTGTTCTATCTTTTTTATTTAGAAAAACAAAATTATGTTTAGTCCTTTGTTTATAGTTTCTTGTTCTCTAAATATTAAATGAAAGAGTAAGTTTTATATGAAAATTAACTTTTTTAAATTGAATATTCACATTTTTATTTTATATTTATGTTTGATATTCATTTTATAAGTCAATATAATGAAATAATACTTTTATTTATACTAGTTAGTATCACGTGCATTGCACGTGATGATAAACATTTTAATATAATATTTTTAACAATTTAACATATAGAATAACAACTCAACAGAATTTTTAAATGCACTAATATTTTGTTTCAAATAAAATATATTTAATATAATATTTCTACCAATCTAACTTATAGAATAACAACTCAACGTAACTTTTAAATGGTACTAATATTTTGTTTAAAAATAAAATATATTATTCGTTGTCAATTTTTCTTTTTTAAGAAAACAACAATAAACTTTTTGTGTGTTTTCTTAAATTATTTATTCATTCTTTTATTTTTTGTATATTATGTAATAAGGAAGAATGAACCAAAATTAAAGAATTAAAATTTGAGAGAGAAACTGAATACTATATATGTCATGAAATCGTTGAAAAAATGTGGAATAAAGAATCACATGACAAAAAAAAAAATAAAATAAGAACAACAACAATCAAAAAGTCATATTAAGATAAATAAGAAAACTAATACTAAAATATAACATGAATATATTTTAAAACCTGAAAAGAACTTTAACTAAATATTGAATTAAACTTGAAAATAACATTAATTAAATATTAAAACACGAAGGTATCATGAATATATAACTTAAAAGTAATCCACATAAAAAAATTAAAATAATCTAAAAGAAATATAAGTTGAAGATAATACGAATACATGATTTTGTTACTCTACCTCTTAATCAATTAAATATGTTTCTGGAATCTCAAATATTTTTTTGAGATGGTTCAGTTTTCACTCACAAAAATAAGAAAAATCTTCATTAATATTTTGGAAATGAGTTTTAGGTCATAAAAGAAAAAGATATAATCTTTCATTTTATAGATTATTTGCTATGACACCTATACGTGGATACATGCATCACTTCATCAAATAGTAATTTTCATTGGATTAACTTCTCTCAACACACCTTTTCACTCGAACAGTTACAACTCTTTTGGATTAAACTCCTTGTTTCATCGAATGGTTACAACTTTTTAGATTTGTTATCTCAACAGACACTTTAACTCGAACAGTCGTGTCTCTCGTAAAAATTTGAAGGAAAAAATATGTATATATTCAAAAGTTGGGGGCAAAATGGGGAGGCAAAGATTCTACTCCATAGTCCCATTTAGATATAGTATAGATAATGATTGATGAATTCAAAATGTTTAAATTGGTTTTTATTATCTTATCTTTGTATCTTGCAAAAATTGAAACGTAGGTAAATTAAAAAAAAAAACTATTGAACTAGTTAGTTTGAATATATAATATTAACATCGTAGCTCCTAGAGTAATATAACGCATTATCATAATCTAGGGGAAACCCTCACAAAAATATTTAGTTTCCATATCTAAGGGAAACTCGAACAAATTCCGGCAATTAGAATAATTACTTGAGTGCAAGAACAAATTGAATTGTCATAGAATTTACGAATAATAGCAGTGGCTTTTCAAAAACATCACATTATTATTTAGCATAAATTGTCATTGAACATATATCTATTAATCATAAATAGTATAGTTATGTTGTTCATTCACACTTTCTATCACAAGTTGTGGCTTTTCCAAAATGATTAGCTACAAAAATATAATTGTTATCGCCTTTGCATGTCTATGAATACAAAAAAATAAGTTCCCTTGTCATATACACTTACTTATCTAAACTTGTACACAAAATTCACAATAGCCTAAACTATCCAAAAGTGAGCATCGTTCGAGCTTAATTTCTTCAATGTTTTTGGGTAAATTGAGAAATGTCGTTGATTCTCTTATTTGAATTTCCCCTTTGAGTTTCCTCTCAGTTGCCTTGTTGATTGTTGATGTGGTGTTGATTGAAAGTGATGTTGAAATTTTTGATGGAAAATTGCAAGTATTTCCCTGTCCCATATAATGTCACATATAAAAAACAACATACTAGAAGTAGCAAATCAATTTTAGAAAGTACTAGTGTTTTACATAAGCTAAAAACTGTAGGAAAAAAAACGTAGCAAATCAGTTTGAGAAACTCTTAGTTTTTTACGTGAACGTACCTAAACATAAAAAAACACATCTTGAAATGTTCCTATTTCTCATACAATACACATAATAGGTAATAGATATAGACGCTACAATTCAGCCACAAAACCTACCCAAAATTGTAGTACTTAAAGGGCAAAGTTCATTATACTAAGTTCAAAATGAAGGAAGGGGAGTGGTTAAGATACAATAACTAACTATTACCTCCCTAACAACAATCTTGCAATAAACACCTACCCAAAGTAGTACCGAGTAGTCTGCCATTTGTGACTCTTTAGCTTGGAATTCTTCTTTCACTTGGTTCATAATCAATTGTGAATCACCTAGAATAAGGAGATTGGTGACACCAATATATATGATCATTCTCAATCTGCTAGTAGAGTTTCATATTCGGCCTCGTTGCTGGAAGCATGAAAACTGAATCGGAAAGCGTACTCAAATCGCTCTCCATCGGGAGAGATGAGTAAGAGACCTGCTTCACAACCTCTGATGTTCAAGGATACATCCATATAGAGTTTCCATAATGGCTTCTCTTCGAGATATAGAATGCGTTGAGGCTAGATGTTATGGACTCGGTGTTTTAGGCCTTTTGGCATTAGTGTTAGTTCGGTTATAGAATTTGCCATAGTCTGACCTTTCATTGTTGTTCCCAATTTGCAGTAGATAACGTACCTGATGACTCTCCAAAAGAGGGTTATTTTATTAGTTAATTGGGTTAATTTGTGCTTTAATGCCATGATTTTTGTGTAAATAGCATGCTAAAGTGAGGAATTGAGTGAAAAAGTTAATTAGCATGTTAAATCCTCATGTTGATGAATTTACGCAAGT